GGAACTGTACGTTCATGGAATAGCGAAAAGCATCAGTACAGGTGCCAGCCAGGAAATAAATAAACAGGTGCGACAAGCTGTTAATCTCATCGATTTATTAAAGAACCTATCATGCTTCAAATAAATAATAGGGGGCATGCTTAAAGTATATCACGTACATGCTCTGAATAAATTAAAAAAAAAGAAAAAAAAACACCGCATGCAATGAGAAATTTTAAACAATGACTACGGATCCCGTCTCATCCTCCAGCTGCGGAGGATGGTTGTGGATGTTGCAGGCCGCCTTGAGATCATCGTACCTAGGTAGGGACGACGAGTCTGCATCGTCCAATCGAGAATTGCTAGACTGTAGTGTACATTGTTGTACGGACGATTGCGATTGAACCACCGTATATGGTATCTCACGTCGTTGCTGATCGCTCATTCCGGAAGTATCGACTAGCCCAAACTCCAAGTGTCTGGAAAATCAGCCATTGTTTTCAATGTTTTACGTTACGTTCGCCGTTGCACAAAGAAATTCATTATTTTTACAGAAACTTTCTTCCATTGTAAAATCGTCATGCAAATTAATTCTGTATAAATTATTCGAATTTCATTCACACCAGAAGTGATTAGATTAGTAACTACGTTGTGCGATAACACATAGGCTATCCGATTTATACACACGTAGGATTGTGTAAACAGTTGTTTAATTTGGAGGAAGAAATATAATACAAAAACTTTGTGCAATTTTTAACGCTAAATATGTACAACAATATAAAATTAAATTACACGTATATTGGATCTGACGAGGTAGATAAAGATTCACTTTTGATCGTTTGGTTTTCATGCATTTAATAGTAACTATATATTGTTATAAACATCGATGCTGAATCTTTTTATACAAAATTATATATGAAAAATACTTAAATTTAATTTAAATTTAATATACTTACCCCTCCAAATTAAACAATATTTTCACGCGTTACTTTGTACTTAGATCGAACAAACAGCATAAGAATCCGCGAAAGTAAATATCTGAAGAATAATCATTTCACTATTGTTACAATCTCATAAAGAAAACGTACTTCCTAAGCTCGTCTGGCAGTGGTTGTTTCTGTGAGGGACTCCGGTGTCTACTTCTGTGCCTTCTTCTCGGTTCTGTATGGCTCACCTATTGAAACATTTTTTTACCATATTTTTTTACATTCACGACGAAAGAATGAAGTCGTACAAAAAATTATGTAAGAGAAACTAGAAGATGGAAATACCGCTAAATATCGAATGAAAGAAATCGTATTTAACATCTCATTCGAACTTACGACAGCCCGTTGAACTCCTTCGCCCTTCCGCTTCTGTGCCTCTCTCCATTGCGGCTCGGAATCTACCAATTCGTGTCTGAAAAGATTCACACGCGTATATGTAGCATATTCTAATTCCGAAATATTCATGTATATTGTAATAAGCGTCCCGCGGTAAACGAAGTTCCGCTTGTTATTTCTCATTGAAAACGTGAATACATGACTAGGGAAGATTTCGTTGGTCGAGGTTGATACTTCCCAGGCGCGTCGTCATTAAAATAATTATCACCTTTACCCGCTCTATGTACCCTACCGTGAGAGTATAATGAACACGAGGGTTTCTTTCCCGTCCACACGGTCGACGAACTCGCCCAAGACATTCTGTCAAGTTATTTCGTTTTCACATCACCGTCTAAGGGACCTTTATTGTGACAATTAATTACCAATTAAGCTAGCGCGCATATCTTAGACGCTTAATTGTCTCGGCACACGATAACAAACGTAACGAGGCTGATAAACGTACAGTTCAGATATCTCTTTAACGATGACGAGCGTGTTATTATTATTTTGTTACAACGTAAGATGGATGAAAATTGTACCTGGATGATCGAGTGCTTCTGTGCTTTCTACGGTGCTTACGATGACCCGACCTCGTGTCCGAACCTCTCGAAAGCTCGGATTCACAATCAGAGTGACGACTATGTCTTCGATGACTATGACTATGACTCCTTCTACGATGACCACTGCGACTGTGGCTGTCTCCTGAACTTTGGCTCTCTACAGAGCTACTTCGTCGTTGGAGTCTGCTCAAGAGCTAAAAAGTCATAGAAAAATAGAGATTATGCACGTGTCTTTTTAATCTAGATCACAACGAATGACATAACATTGACAAACTACTTCAGACATTTTATATATTTTTTGTATAATTATTTGCAGCCCGCAGCTAGAGCACTACAAATAAACAAATGTGAAGAACGTACTGCCGGTGCCGCACCCGCCGAGCGGACAGACCGAGGACTAGACGAAGTGTAAAGACCACGAGGTTGGCTCTGAGTCCACGGCGCGCTCCTGGTGCTCCTGGGACTTGAGCTGTTCGCCTGTCTCGAGTTTTGGGTATTGCACAAAACGTTGCCGCCCACCGAGTTGCTGTTTGAGTTCGAGTTGACCGTCACCGGCGTTTCCACGAACGGACCGACCATTTCTTGACCCTCGACCACGCGTCGCTGCGCCCTGCGACTGGGTATCCTCTGGAAAATCGGCGGTGGATTCCGTCTGATTACCGTGTGCTTCTCAGAGCCGGACGGAGGGCTGTACGAGCGGAAACGCGAGTAAGGGCTCAAAGGTGGCGGACCGGTGGCCATTAACCGGAAGAACGCTTGATGCTCCAGACAACACTTCCATAGATGTCTACAGGCACCCTTTGACGGCGTCTCGAAACCGTGCGTTCTCTCCTCGGAATTCTTTTCGCTGACTCTCAGCATGAAATATCTACCCTGAAAAGAAGAAATAAAATAGCTTTGAACCAACTACATTTCCTTTAATGCGGTTCTGGCGTTTGATATTGGATCTCTCTCTCTCTCTCTCTCTCTCATTACAACTAGCTCTACCAAGAAACATCTCATCAACTCGGTAAAAGCTCAGTGTTTCATTGATAATATCCGCAGTGATTCTTGCTTGTGAGAAGAATGAATGGACTGCCTACCTTGTAGTAGATCTTATTGATCCGAGGCCAATAGTAATTTCCCACTTTGGTCTTGTTACGTAACAGAATTATCCCGCTCGGCGTCAGTCCCAGAAAATACTCCACGCTGTCTTCACCCTGCGAAATCGAGATTACACAAGGTTTCGAGAGATTATCGCGTTTAATTACAGTATCGACCGGCTTTGGTTGAGTCGAACAACAAATACCTACCAACACAGGATGCAAATCAACCCCGTACATTTCCAGCCATTTCACTTTGTCCAAATAATTTAGCTCTGCGGCGGAGGGCAATTGTCCCCTGAAAAATT